TTAGATAAGCTTAGATGACCCATTTCAGGACACATTTTTCAGTCCTTGGGCCTGTCCTGGGAAAGACAGCGTTACCTAAGCCTCCCACAAGAGCCACCCCTACATATGGCAGCACTGCTAAGGAGGAGCGAGGTGGGACCGTGCTGGCTTGGGACAGCCCTTGAGCAGCCCCTCAGGGGCTGAAGGGTGCTGCACCCCTTCTGCCAGGCTTCAGGAAAGCCCCAGGCGATGCTGCAGCCAGAGCCCGCTGGAGCCCCTCCACGAGGCGTTGGGAGGACCAAAGGGCTGTGGCCTGACTGGTGCTGCAGCTTTTTCTGTCGTTCTTACATTTAGCTCTGCTCCAGAAAGGGCGGTGAGCCAAACCAAAGCTCTTACCTAGAGCCAGAGGTGTCCTGGAGGTCCACAGGGCTCGGGGACGGTGAGGTGCCCTTGCAGGAGCCATCCTCGAGCCGCCAGTGCCCCTCCAGGGCCGCAGGAGCTGCTGGAGCAGGTGGTGGCGGGTGTCGCTGCTGGAGTTTCTTTCTAAGCACGTTAAATTCTGAATTTACAGTAGTTGCATCCAAGAGCAGGGATCGTCTCTTTGCACAAGGTGGCTGTAGCACAGGCCCTGGTGCCTTTCTCTTGCAGAGGTCTGTGAGGGTCCTGGCTGGGGACCCCCAGGAGCAGAAGACAAACCGCTTTCTCCATAACTCTAACTCTGGCTGTGTCTCCTTCCAAGACGGTCTTCCACAGGAGGACGTTTGACAAGAGGGACTGAGAAAGAGGCCAAGAAATACTGAGAATGAGGACATGAGGTCAGAGTTCAGGCAATCAATAGAGACGATATTTATTCTGTCCTCCCGCTCCCTGGGCCCCACGTGACCGGCCAGGGCTGAGCGTGCGAGGGGAGCTCTGCTGTGCCCGCGCACGGCGTGCTGTCAGAGGAAGGTCCTGCTCCCGAAGCAGTGGCGTGCCCGCTTGCTGAGACACAGCCTTCTGCACAGCCTCACCGAGACGCCGTAGTTCGGCGGTGACAGTGACAGCAGAGCAGAGTGACAACTGCCATTCGCGCTGTCCCGTGGCAATAAGCGATGACCCTTGAGCTGGGGACACATGAACTTCGCTCCCCTGGAGCTGCCCTGACCCTTGCTTTGACACAGCCTGTCTCTGAAGGCTGACGTGAGGCCAGCAGCAGCCATCTTCACATTTGACACGAGTGGGATCCTTGAAGATCCAGTGTCCCAGCCCGCAGTAGCCCTTGCTGAGCTGAGCTGCGGGAGAGTGACCAGACGTCTTGGCGTCTCCCTGACTCGAACTGCCCAGCCGCCCCCCGGCCAGAGCTCATGCCGCAGCAGATGCCGAGCAGAGTCGTTCCGCTGAGCAGGAGCGGTGCGAGGACCCCGCCGCTCAGGGCTGCTGCTGGACGCTGAGAGGGATCCATTGTGTGACATCCGTGACCGCAATAAAGCTGACGCTGACTAATGAGAGGTGTGCGTCTCTGATTAGCGAGCCAGTGAGTCACAGCCAGCGGTGCCAGCGCCAGCCCAAGAGCTGCGTTAGCACCCGGGGCTGAACTCATGCGCTTCAGGGTGACTCACGCGTTCAGTGTGCAACGTTAAGCCCTGTGTGAGGTGGCATTCTCGTTCAATGTCCCCTTGTCCTGTGACTGGCCGTGGCCATCCAGCCTTGTGTCATTCCTCATCGCGCATAGTCACGCTCTGATCTCAACCTCCCACCTCTGCTGACGGGGCTGGTGTGGTGCCAAGCAACGGCCCCTGGAGCTGAATGCGGGCTCGTGTTGACTCAAGCCAGAAGCATCTGAAGTGTCAACACGGTCCCGGTTTGGGGCTCGGGCCGATGCAGCCAAGAACCTGGGTTAGAGGGTGCTTTGCGAAGGGTTTTTGTTCGTTCGTTTGTTTGTTTGTTTGCTTGTTTATCTTTAAGCAACAGCCGAACATGCCAAATGTATCATGTGAAGCAGAATTTTAGATGCAAAACTGAGTTTTTCAGGTGCTGTTCTGGAAACCCACAACTGCTTTGTATTTCTACAGATCTGAAAGAGAGAGAGAAGAAAAATAAGCCCTTTAGGCATTTAGCTCCTAGGGTAAAGCTACCTCTTTCTATATAAACTCATCAATTAATTCTGTTTCAGTTAAATGGTGTAACATTTCTGGTGCAAGCTTTCAGCCGCTGCAGATACAACCCCCTGTTTCCTTGTAGGCTTTTTGTCTCTTCATGGTGTCTAAACTCACGCACAAAGCAGAGCTGAGCTTTCTTTCCACAGCCAAGGGGCCTGTCCATGGAGA